CGCGAGGGTCTGGAGGCTGCCTGGCAAACCATGAAGCTGGTAGCGCTCGGGCAGCCCTTTTCGCGTGGCTGGGAGGGAGGAGGGGGGAGTTAGGGCGGGGGACTTTGGGGAAGGGGTGGAGTTGGGGCGGGGCCGGGGGTGGGGAAAGGGGCGGGGCCAGGGGCCGTGGAGTGTCCTCTTTTTTTATTTTTTAAATATGGTAACCCTAATAGGAAGCCTAGGGTACAACTAAATTAGATTTTGTGGCTCCCATTGTTGTTCCATGGATTTTTTTTCTAGGCACCTAAAAGTTAGATGCTGCAGTACCTAAGTCCCTTTGTGGATCTGGGCCAAAGAGTAAAGCCACGACAAAAACTTTGCATTAGATCTCACTTCAGGGGTGCTGGAACAGATGGTGCCATGGCCCCCCCCACTTTTCACTGGATGTCAGGGCAAGCGATGGGGTTGTGGTGGAGAGGAGTGAACGGAGGGGTAGGCTCTTGGGGGGAAGAGGTGGAGTGGGGCCTTGGTGGGGGAAGGGACAGTACAAGGGTGGGGCCACCATTCAGGTGCCTCTGGCCCCCCCACTTTCAGGGTGCTTCTACTGCTCCTGCCTCACTTCATTTGGCCCATAAATGTTGTGGTTGGTGCCATAAAAGCAGAGGAAGATTCAGTACCTGCCCCGCCATCCCTAATCGAAGGAGGCAAAACAGACCCAATGATATCGCTAACCCTCTAGATCCTTAGCAGATTTCTTTTTAATATTGATAGGCATGTATATCCCTAGTAGCATCTTACTTTTTAGTCAAGACAACTGGAGAATGTGAAATTTAAAAATAGTGATTTAATTTAACCCTTCTATCTCAGAAGTTTCTTTATCATCAAAAGTAGAGTTTTGGCTAGACTTCTTAATCTGGATCTGAAATTGGTGGGCAGGTCTGACAGTGAAAGATGAATCAATCTTTAATGGGAACATCTGTGGGTGTCTCCTGCAATACAAGTATTAGCTCTGATAGGTGGAAGTGGATAGCTGCTGGTGGCTGTGTGTGTGGACTAGCTTCAGATTTATTGGTGGCTTAGAATAATAATGGTTTGTAAATAAATCATTACTTGAGTGTAACATACTTTGTACCTTCTGCATGCTGGGCTTATTGGACATCAGGGATTCCTTACATCCCTGTGTTCTAACACAAAAGGTTCTTGTGTGCCATCCTCCCATTGGCCTCTTTCAGGAATTTTCCCTGCGTCTTTTCCCTTATGCCTGGAGCTCTGTGCACCTCCTATTCCCTCATGACAATGTCTCTTTTAGGCCCCCATTCATGGGGCTTCTTGTGCTCCCTATTCTCCCTTCACCCCATATCAGGGTCTCCAGTTTCCGCCCCACCAGAGGTTCTGTATGCCTCCCATTCTCTCTTCCTGCTATTTCAGGGCCCCATGTTCTCCCATGCGAAGGGGCTGAGTGCACACCTACCTCCCACTTTCCCCTACCATTATTATTTGTATAGGACAGTGGTTCACAAACTTAACAACCTGTGAATCCCTTTTACTAAAATGTCAAGTCTGGCAAACCTCCTCCTAAAAATGAATAGTTCCAGGGATTTTCTTCTTTACCTGAGTATAAACTATAAAAGCAGTGATCTTGGAAATCTAAAATTTGTTTTTATGACATGCTTATTACACTATTTGTCATTACAGTATTTATTACATTATGAAAATGGCAACACTCTTCCACGATCTTACTTTCGTAGCTTGTATCACTTTGAATAAGCCTGTTATAAGACAAGGCTCATATGTTTCTTCACGGAGTATCAGATGTATTTAAGAATCCACCTCAGAGTTCCTACACCAGCGTTCAGGTCTTGAGCAGTCCAGGCAAACAACACATGTTACAACAAAGCTTAAACTTGTTCTTCATAATTTTAAGAATACTAGCTATTTAATTTTAAAAACAGCAAAAAATATCTACCTCCCTTTCCTATAAGAAGTCTTAAAGTTTAAATCTCCTCAGTGTGATAGATATGCTTGCTTTGATCTGCTTAGCTCTTGGAAGTCTAGGGGCTCTGGGCTGCTGACCCTGTGCTGCCTGTGGTCCCTAGGGACAGCTCTGTCCGCCATTAGAAAATCATCTCCTCCCCCCCCCCCCCCGAGAACCCCCTGTAACATTTCATGAACCCCTGGGAGTTCACAAACCCTAGTTTGGGGAACCACTGGTCTAGGAGATCAGTCATTCAGGGTTAAACTCTAATGGGCAGAGATGAAATATAGGTATTGTTGTGCTGGAAGGCATTGGTGCCATCAACCATTTGTTTGATCTGTAGGCAATTGCAGAGATGCTAGAAGCTGCTTGTGTGTTAAACAGATGGCAGGGGCTCCAAAAATCCTCATTTCTCTCTTGCAGTTTTCTGATTTTCCAGAGTTTTGGCCATTGGTGCCTAGAACATTCCCTGAAAGTTTGGAATTGTCTATCCACCTCAATGCCACATCTGATCAAACAGAAAAATGCCATCAAGTTAAGTAT